TGTGTCCATGTCTCTGAGTAAGTGGGAATGGACATGCCTGTGGGGGGGCATGTATGTGTACACGAGTGTGTCTGTATGCATATGTACACACGTCTCTGTGTATGTGTGTACATGTCTCTGAGCATGTGCATATGCATGTGTGCACATGTATGTATTAGCTTAGGAAGATTTGTTCTTCTGCAGCAGAAGGAAAGAACTATTTGCAGAAGGCCAATGTGCCTTCCATGTTTACCAGCACACGTATGACAGGTGATGTACTACCCTGTTAAATGTGTTCCAGTCTCCTCAGTGTACATTGTGCCCTATAGCTGCTCTCTTCCCACTACCCTTCCTCCCAGGGAACTCCTGCAGGCCCTCTCCTTGCAGTGAAGGCTCTTGGTCTTGCTTTCTGCTTCCAGAGCCACTCTATGCCTTTGGCCTGTGGTCCTCCTCCCTTCCCCTACCCCCCCGCCCCTGTAGAGATCAACATCTCCCCAGGTCTGGGAGATATGGGTCATGAACTGTACTCTAAGCATAGGATGATGTCTTTGCTGCCGAGGAGATGAAAGGCAGGGGTCTGTGGAACTGGTGGACCCAGGAACCCGAAAGTTGTGGAACAGAACTGAAGAGCCCAGAGCGATCCTGTCCTCCCTGCATGAGCAAAGCCTCTGAGCTTCTACTCTCAAGACCTAGACTTATCAGGGTTCCCAGTCGGAGGCAGTTGCTCTTGGTAGCAGAATGCAGAGGGGACATATGTTTTCACGTCTGTGTGGGTGTTTGTGAAAGCCGTATCTATGATGTTACTATAAAGATCTTCTCACTTGGAGTTACTCTATACAAATCCAGAGAACGGCTCGTGAGGCTGTGCTCAGGTATGTGGGAGGGGCCTATGTTGCTCCGAGGTAACCCACTGCGTGTGTGCTGCTTTCTGCGTGGCTGGTAGGGACGGCAGGGGAGGGGCTTGCCAGCTAACTGCTCAGTAGTAGCAATGATCCAGATGCATCGGGCTGCTGTGTGCCACTGGCCTCCTCGGGCTCAGGTATTCTTCGTGTCGTTGTGTGAAAAAGCCATTTATTTTACATTACCATTGTGGAGAGAAAAAACACTTTTTTTCCTCAGTCATATTTTATAGGTCTTTAGCAATTTTGGTTGTTCTGCGTTCTTTTCATAGTCTCTCTCTTTTTTAAGTGATGGAGAGTGGAATGTGATGCTCCCCCAGTGCCTGGGCTTCCTAAGACCACATACCAACAAGCCTTCCCTAATATATTCTGCACAACTCATCTCTTTCGATAAGTGGGCTTAAAGCTTAAATCAGAATACAGGATTTGAGTCATCTAGAAAAATAAGAAATGCACGACAAGCAAACCAGTGAAAGCTATTCTAAAATACAAAACAACAAGAAAATAACCCCCAAAGGCAGAAAAACCCAAACCACCAAGGAAAAGAGCCCAATCACAAAGCTCTGTCTGTATGATTCAGAGCAAATATGGACTTTGCTTTAATAATGTCGAGATGAGGGTGGCGGGCATCCCAGGAGGAGGCACTGTGAATGCTAGCAGCCTCGGGTTTCAGCTCTAACTAACATATCCTAACCTGTCATAGAGTCAGTCTCTATGTGTTGTGAATAGTTATGTTTATAAAGAATTTTCCTCCACATCCACGAATGTTTCTGAATGACCCAACATCACTTTCTCCTCAGAAGATGCTTCTACTTTCGGTGGAAGGTAATGAGGTACATTTGTACATTTCCAAGTCAATTATGAAGTGACTGAGTCACAGCTGACCAAAACATCTTCTTTGAAGGTATTTATATGGTTCTCATAACTATATCTGAGTAGAAATTTTTAAACAATCTCTATTTTGGTGAAAGAAGGTTGGGATTCCCCTCTTTGGCCCCTTGACACATCTAATTTGCATTCATCACATATTGGCTGGAAAGCACTCCCAGGGCACCCAGGCTTCTCCGGGAGAGATAGCAGAGCTTGGACTTCACTCCGCTGATCCATCTTCTCCTACCATAAGACAATACTTTCCTGTGCACTTATCAATGTCAGCCTCCGCTTCCGTATCAGAGCCAGAACGAAGTGATTGGCTTCCCAGACTACAAATGAAAAGTCTGTGGCTCAACAGGATCAGATAAGCGGCCCAATGCACAGGAAAGATGGGTTTTTAATGTCTCTCTCCATCAGCACCTTCTATCCACAAGTCTGTGGGAGCATCGTGGATTATGCTAAACTCATTGTCCTCGCTCTTAGACGTGAGAGAAACTACCTGCTTACTTTGAAACATGGTTTCAATGGTTTAAAATGTAATCAAAAATCATTTGTCTTCTGGAAGAAACAGTAACATAACTCGGGTGGGCTCAGATCATCAAAGTAGATACAAGGGGTGAGGACAGGGAGGTTGCTAATGCCGTTATAAATCCCACACGGCAGAATGGCTGGGTGCTGGGAGCGAATGCAGGGTAAGTCTCCCGCAGGCTTCCTTCAGCCCTGTTTGTGTATGTGACGTACTGGCCTGTGTGTGTCTGCAGTGTCTGAATCAATTCAGGGATCGGAGCAGATTCTTGCTCACTTACCTGCTCCTGGAGGACTTTCAGCAATGCTTGTGTGTGGGACTGCTCCTCCTTCGCCTGCTCCAATTCCGACTTCTTGTTGTTCAGCTCTTCCTGGATGGCCAGCAACTGCTGTGAAATCAAGGGACAGTTGGTGTGAGAAGGGCCAAAGGGCAGTGGAATGTCAGATGTTCACAGTAACCTCCAAACAACAAGGGCTTTGTTTGTTTCTAAACATAGAGGCCTCATACAAACACCAGCTAACTTTTTTGTCATAGGTTTCCCTGCATGTGGTAAGGAACATTGCAGTTTTGGCTACATAAGGAGGGTGTTTTATGATACTGACATGGAATATTTGTGAAGACACCATTATATTACTCTGCAATGAGTATTTGTAAAAATACATAGAATCATGCTTATAAAACAAACTGACAGAAGAAGAATAAAGGGCTGGAGAGATGTTTCAGAAGTTAAAACCCAGATTTAGTTCCAAGGACCCGCAGGGCAGTGGATAACAGTTTAACTCTGGTTCCAGGGAATCCAGTCCTTTTTTCTGGCTTCTGTGAGTATCTGGATAAGCACACATACATAAGAAATAAATCTTGAAAAAAAAAGCTAAAAATTAAGACAAAGCCTACTTGTTCAGATTTCCTTGATTTCCATATTATAGTGAAGCTAGCTTTATGGCCATCCCGTGCAGCTATTTCCCCAAGTGGCAGGAGCCACAAAAGCTCTTTTTACTTTCTCCGTTATGACAGAGATGTTTTATTGGATCAGCAGGACAGAAGTCCAACTGCAATACATATATCAGCTGAGAAAACTGCTGATATAAGCTGTCAAAACACTAAGCTACGGCCTACACCGCAATTTTCAGGCACGGCCACCGAAGGGATTTTGTGAGCCTTGGGCCCTCCTTGCTCTATCAACTGTAACTCATCTGGAGACGGCTTGTCTTGTCTGCCCGAAGCCCAGGCCTGCCCTGCACTGCCTGTCGGAGGTTAACACGCATGTGGGCTAGAGAATATGTTCAAGAGCTACAAATCAGGCCCTGGAAACAGCGATGTCTATCCAAAGCCTCTTCGACCAGTTTGAAAACACAGAAGAGCATGTTTTCCTGCTGTGACACATAATTAATGTTTCTCAATGGATGTGAAGGGACTGACTCCAGCATCAGGTCACAGAGCAGTTGCTAACCACAGAATCCAAGGTAGTCATACTGGATTTCTCATGCTTATGGCCACCACTGGGAAGGACTTCACTGAATCTTCAATACCACAGGTTTTAGTGAAACTGGGTATGGGAAGTGCTCACAAAAACTAAACCAAACAAACAGAAACAAAAACATCTCCCTACCCAACACACACCCACGTACTCACACTCCCCCCCCCACACAGGCCCCCCCCCCCACGCACAATGCCTTCTTCTGGACTTGTTAGTACAATTGCCTATTTTGAAACTGTGTATAGATTTTAAAATCTCCCTTGGTTTCTCTATATAAACAGTGACTTTTCTCACAGGTCAGTTCCTCCTATTCTGTGATTGTAGCAACCTCTGACAACTCACGAGCATGAACTGTGTATCAGCAGCCTAGAGCACAGAAACGTGGGGGCTCTTGTAACTCATCTGAAGGGCCGCAGGTCCTGTGGCGTACAGAGATGCAGGTAAAAGACAGTAGCAACAGTGGGCTATACCTCTGCTCACTCTCATTCACCGAAGGCCAGAGGGCAGCCCGAGGTCACCTGCTCTTCTGATGTAGGTGACATCAGATGTTTTTACTTATTAGAAAATTATAAATCTAGGGTAAAAAGACTTCCCACGCAAGCATGAAGACATGAATAGAAATCTCCAGAATCCATATACCCCTGGGGACAGTGGTTTGTGTTTATAATCCCAGGACTTCTAAAGTGAGGTGGGAGGTGGAGACAGGCAAATCTGAGAAAACTGACAGCCAGCTAGCTTACTGGATGTACTGGGGACTCAGGAGACTCCCATCTCTAACAAGGTAGAAGGCAAAGACTGAGACCAAAGGTTGTCCTCCTAACTTCCACACTTGCTGTGTGGCATATACACATCTATACTCGAGAATGAAGAGATGGACACACACACACACAGACATACAGGGAGTATTTTAAAAACATTTCAAATCCAATTTTTAATTCAAGAGAGCAAAATGAACAGGAAATTGTCTTCAAAGGTAAGGGACGTTGATCTGCTCACTGCCGAGCAGTGGAGGGTTCATTATATCAGGGATGGTCATTTATGTGCACAGCCCTGAACTGTGAAGCTGTGCAGACCCTAGACACATACAGTGGGGAGGACATACTAATGTACAGCTTGGCTAGAGAGGCCAGGTTACACAGAGCTTTTGTTAAATCTGGCCACATTCACAGGAAGCGATCTGGACACGGTCTCTGCAGGAGCCGGCCTGTGATCTCTAAGTCCTGCTTGTTAACCTGATACTGTATCTGTAATGAACATACTGTTTTAGTAATGAGGACAAAAACCAAACTAGAGATTGGGGAAAAGGCCTGGATTCAACTCTGAGTTGTTACTATTAACAGCAAATACATGAGAAGCTTGGTAGAACCTTCCATCACATGTGCATCAACCCTTCCATCACGTGCGTGCTCGCGCACACACACACACACACACACACACACACACACACACGCATGCACGCATGTACACACACACACCTTTCCCCTGACCTTACTTCACATTTAAATTTCCATTTGTCCTCATCTTCCTTTGAATTCTATCTTTAAACATCGATCTTACATTCATCCTTCCTCCCCTTCTTCCTACGTACAGACAACTGCTTTAATAATTACAACATCTGGACTCTTATTCGAACTTCTTTTTCTGAAACACATATATTGCTGTTGTTTTGCAAGTATTTTCCTGGAATGCTTCCACGTTTCTTACCATCTACTATATTTTCAATATGATTTACATTTGCAGGATTGGACCAGGGAAACATTTTATACTGCCTCTGTGGGGAACATGGACCCAGCTTACCCAGTCTGCTCCTCCAGTGGAGAATCAGCACCTCCTGCTCTCCCAGTCTACACAAGACCGCAATGGGACAGGCCAGCACTCGCTTCCTTATTGTCTTGTGGGGGAATTCCCCTGAGTCACTCTTCTAGCCATACTTCGTCAAGGGCATCGGCATGCTTAGAAGGTCTATGTTGAAGCCAACCCACACGATTACTGTGCAGAACCACTTACCCTCCCCACATGCAGAAGAAAAACAGCAGTCAGGCTTCTCACCTTTGTCAGTAACAGGATATAGAGTCTTCATTGCAGAGAGCAAGGAAAGGTCTGAGTGGATATGTACTGTTTGCTGTGGGTACTGACATACCAAAGACCCCAATGCCTCAGAGCCACAGGATTGGTGAGGCCTTCCACCTGAGGCCCCGAGGGACGGCAAAGCCTTCTATGGATCCCTGTGTGGCTGCTGGCAGTGTTTGCAGACAACATCCACTACAGCTTTCTTCCCCTAGATGTTTACAGCCTGAAGACTGCTCCCCTTCAGAGCCTGCTCCATGGTCATCTGTATATAATGACCCCTCCTCCTCTCTCACCTCCCTGTTCAGCCGTATGCAGCAGACCCCCCCCCATCCATCCTTGCCAGTTCAACTGTACATAATTAACACTCTGAGCTTCTGGGTGGGGGTGCTCCAGCATCTCTATCCACCCATATGATCCTGGCGTTTCTGTGTGTCCTTGTGTTTGTCTTTTGTTTATTCACTCACTGTCCCAGTCAGGTCGGTCCTTGAACCACTCAAGACATGATCCTTCAGTTTTCAAAGTGCCCGTTTTCTATTCCCCCATGACTACGAGCAGATTCTTGCCAAGTTTTGAGTTTTATTTACATTTCTTAAAAAAGCACTCAAGGACAGGTGGTTTTCTGTTTCCCCTGGATACTAATACTGTCTGCTTTGGGGGACCTGCAGAAGCCCAGTTAGCTCCAAATGACTAGAGGTGGCACCCAGGCTTGGATTACTTTTGTAAGCCTCCACAGATAGTAATCCTAGTGAGTAACGGGGGCTGGGAGTCACTGTTCCCTTCAGTTCTCATGTGTCTTTCACTGGCCACGATGTGGTTCCAGTCCCTATCGCTCCACTTCGATTGTTCTTACATTATCTGTTCTTATACCAGCGTCTTTTCTTCTCCCAGCATGCTCTTTGCAGTGACACTATGTACGCCCATGGCTTGCACACTACATGTGTTGGCTGTTGACAAAGTTGGTCTTTTAGGCTCTTACTTTCTCTCAGTATGCACTAGTGCCTTAACTAGCTGTGCTTCAAACTGTGCCTGTTAACACACGCTCTGCCTGCTGACCACCTCTCTGCTCTTCTCCTGGTGTCCTTATAGCCTCCCTGTTCTCTTACCTATGCCTTGCTGTCGCCAATACTACCAGCTTTTCTCTGGATGCTGCCTGTCCCACTGATATCTATCCTGAACTCCAAAAGAATTTAGGAGATAGAAGGCTAAAGGACAATGTGAACCCAAGGCAAGCAACATAATTAGATACAATAGCCTTGTGTCTTACTTAGGGTTACTATTGCTGTGCTAAAACACCACGACCACAAACAACTTGGGGAGGGAAAGGTTTATTTGGTTCACACTTCTACATCTTAGTCCATCTCTAAAGGAAGCCAGAACAGGAAGTCTAACAGGGTGGAACCCGGAGGCAGGAGCTGATTGATGCAGAGACCACTGAGGCGTGTTGCTTACTGACTTGTTCTCCAAGGCTTGCTCAGTCTGCTTTCTTATAGAGCCAAGGACTACCAGACTCAGGGATGGCCACACCCACAACGAGCTGGTCCTTCTGCCATCAATCACTAAGAAAATGCCTTCCATCCAGATCTCAGGGAGGCATTTTCTTAACTGAGGTTCCCTCCTTTCGGATAAGTCTAGCGTTGACTAGACAGCACACCTTGGGTTTTTCATGAAGGCGTCTTTCAATCTCCCAAACAACAGTAGTTGATCTACCTTCTCTGTTTCCAAAGCACTTGCTGTTATGTCACATTTTATATGCATGTCAACTAGATGAATTCCATCAATAATAGTTTAAAAATTCACTTATATAATATATAGCAGGTAGTGACTGGATGGAGAGATGAATGAATGCTTGCTCTAGTTTTCCTTCTTGTATGAAGTCAAACTATGATTCCAAAAAGAGAAGGAACAAAACCTATTTGAAGCTTCCTCACTGGAAAATTTATTGTTCTAGGAAATACAGATATTTAAAAAAGCATTCAGAGGAAAATTATGGCTCCATTTGACACATGTGATTCATTATTCTGGCAGTTCTAGCTATCCTTAAAATCTGAGGAATATTTCCTAAAAGGTTAAATAATTCCAATCAATGGATTTATAATTGTGTTATTTATCCCCCATGTCCACACTCTCCCGACCCCCCAAAGAAACTTCTGATACTCTAATTCTGCGCATTCTATAAAATTAATGCTTTCTTTGGCTTACAAAGTATAAACTCGAGAATCTAATATTTATGTATTCAAAACAGTGGTGATTCAAACTGCTATCCTCCATTTGACTAGGCACCCTATGAAAACAGTGAGATATTTAACCACTAGACAACTTAGCTTTTCTGGTCCTTTTCATTGAAATTTATGAGACTGTATAATATTCTTTCTAGTTTGAATTTTTAAGTACCAACGTGCCTCAATTACAGACATTCACAGGCAGCTAGAACTTAATCAGAAGTGTCTCCCGGTTGGATTGGCTGACTGCAGCATAATTTTAATTTAACATTTGAGAGTATGGCATTAAACAGATGCACTATTACATTCTTGGGTGGTTACAACTGAGTGTGTTCCAATTAGACAATTATCCATATGCCAATCAAGTGGAAACACTCCAGCGGACAACAAGCAGGTAAATAAATGCCACACCTGACATGCCTCGATATTTCTAGGCTATGGATTTAATAAGATCATTTGTAATGCTCTTTGGAGATGA